ACATGAATTATTTACAACACCGTGGAGCAACCGGTAGAGTGTCAGGCTACCTTTCTGAATTCTGGTGCATACCGCTTTACCAGAGGCTCTAGCCGCGCTGGAAGACCAAAGGTGCACTGGGCGGAGTCTAGCTTAACGGAGTCGACAGCAAGACTGGAACAGCTTCAATCAGATGCGGCCCCGGCCCATGGAGATATCAACCGCTCCGAGTGGACTCCTTCTATCAAATTCTCTCCCTTGATCAAATCCGCATATCACATGGTTCCCAGGGAATTGTATGGATGGAGAATACGTTAATGCATCGTAAAGTACGTCATGCTGCTCAAGATCGAAGGCAATTGGCTAAGCTTATAAACAAACCTCAAAAGCCACGCTCACGAAGGCGTTGAAAGCGGTTGGTGCTGATGGGCTAAGACAGTTGGCCCTTCGTTTTCAAAAAAAAGCGCAACACATGTCTCTGCTAACTGGAGTCAAAAAACAAGCGATGGTGACTGCCGGACATGCTGCTCCAAAATTCAAATTGCGTATATCTGATGCTCTTTGCCTCGCGTGCTGCCTGCCATATCCTATAGTCTTCACAACTCAGGAGCGCTTGCTAATGCCAAAATTCAGTAAATGGCACTCTCCCGGCTTAGTAGACTCAGATATCTGCATGATATCGCATCCGCAGTCACTTGCAATGGCGATCGCCTGCACCTTTGAGGCTGTTGGCTAGCACTTTGAAGATCTGCGTGATTGCTAGTTTTAAAATATCTGCCTGACGGGTCCAAGAAGCCATCATAAAATGTGTAAGCGCATACGGCGCAAACACGATCATGCGCAACCATGTTCAAGAACAAAAGGCCCTGCTGCTTGGCTGTCAGTCGGTTTGTGCTCCTAGGGAAGTCAAAGTCACGCTCGGCCATTGCCTCACATTCCTCCTGCTCGTTACGCGAGCATACATCAGGGCAGCTTCCTGGAGAGACATATCGACGATATGGCTTCAGCCAAAAATCTGGCCCGGCAAAAAATTTAAAAAGCAAGTGCATGCCTTGCGTCGCTGCGCGCAACTTCCCAGCATGAGGCCCTTGCAGACTCTGATTTTTTCACTGTCAGCGAACAAGCTGCAGTCACTTCTTGCGCCAGCGCGACGGGGTGCAGCCCTTCACACGGCGGCAGCGCCCACAACCCTTAGGCATCTTTTCACAAGCCTCGGCGTGAGAAATCTTTGGCAGCTCCGCCTGGCTATCTTCAGCCACAGGCTTCTTGCGCACAGACTTCTGTTTAGCGCTGGCTGGACACTTTTTGGTCGCCGGCTTCTTCTTAATGCTGGAATCAGAAATTTCAGAAAGGGCGGAGCCCTGAGAAGATTCCACACAAATGGCCTCGGCGCATGCTTCATCACTTGCAGTTTTAGCCGACTCATCATCTGAAGCTGCTTCTGGCAACGAGGACAGCTGCCTCGCATACTGCTCACGGATTTGCGAAGGGTTGAAAGACGTCAGATCTTTCTTGGGGCCCTGAATCGGTGCCGGCTCCGGCGCGTCCAAAGAGCTGGAACTGATCGCCCTCACAATCCTTTGCGCAGGTGCCTGAAGTTTGGCTCCACTGGTGGCTTGCCTACGCTTCTTGTAAATGTGCTCCAGGCCAGCCAGCAGACGCCCAGCGAAGCACTTCGCCTCAGCTAGGTTCATGCTGCGACCAAAGGCTTCTGACAAAGCCATTTCGAGTTTTTTCTTGCTGGCGCGACCTCCTTGCAACCTGCGTGCCAAGTCGGTCAGCAATTCCTCGAAACTTTCACATCACAAGGCATCGGGGTCGGCTTGAAGATAGTCTGCAGTCTTCGGTCCACGAGGAAGATGCTTCAGGAAAACGTGAGCAAGGTCCGACATGGCTGCCGTGCATCTACGAAAACTACCATTGAGCAAAAACTATACCACACAGAGTGCTTCGAGATTTGCAGCTTCATCTTGCCCCCGCATTGTTCGAACAAAACATGTTTCATGCACACATATATATATATACACCAAAAAAAATCTGGCCTCCCTCCCTCCCACTTTTAGAGATCTTGCTTCCCTCCTTCTCGCATAAAAAAATTATACACTGTTCAAAATTGAAAGAAAACTGACGCAAACTTTCAATATAAACATTTGAAAAATTCGTGACGCACGCTGATACGCGCAACCCACGCTTACTTTAAGATCCAATGCATGCTTATTTTCGAGGCTTAAATAAGCAAATACATGCTTAAACGCAGAACGCACGCAATATTGGAAGATCAGGGAAGGCTTTACTGGAGGGGACGTCTCTCGGGCCCACCGACTCATCCGAGTCACGGGCCCGAAAAGGTGGGAAGATTTACCTCGACGCCGTGGGAACATCCCGGTCTCAGCCCGCTGGGCCAAAGTGGTGAAAAGGGTTGAAGCTTTATGAAGCTGTAGCCTGTAGGGGCGGTGTAGCCACTATAGAACAGCCCCCAGGCAGTATGGCATGGCTCAAGGCCAACTCCATGCCTACCCTGAAGCTTTAGATGCCACGTGGCCTGGGTCGACGCGTGTGTGTACGATCTGCCTCTCCACCTCTCAATTGTTTACCTGGCTCCAGAGCTGAGGGTTCAGAGCCTCCATTGCAGCACACATCATTCAGCAGAAGCCGGACTGCCCTTAACCGAGGCGCTGCAGAGAAGTCTTGAGAGGCCCAAGGAAAAAGCAGAGTGCTACTCGTCTGCTTGTTGCGGTAGGTCTTGGACAGGAGCAGTGCAACCGCACAGAAGGCTAAGAGTTTTCTTTTGTCTTGTGTTTTGTTGTGTGTTGTGAATCTCGTGCCGCAGCGCTGCCGCTACTGCTCCTAGGCCAAGACTGTTAGCCCACTACAAGCCTTTAGTCGATCGCGTTCTACGCAACAGAACTTTTTGACCCGCCCTCCCAAACCTTACTTGCTTGAACTTACCTGAACCTTCAGCCCTGTTGGCCAAGTCATAACTTTCGCAGCAAGCCTACTTCAGCCTTTTTCAGTTTCACCTAGCCTTCACATCAGCCTGCGAGACCGCAGCCTGGCCAGGATAGCTTAGGGACTCGCAGTCCTCAGCAAGCACCAAAGCGAAGGGCCCGCTAGCCCTATTTTACCCAGGTCCGCTGGCCTACACAGCAAAAACCTTCGCCTGGGCCCAAGCCTACGGAAGTCAGGCTTGTGAGACTAGTGAGCTTGCGAAGGTCAGCCCAAGCCCTTTGAGCTTGGTTTTCCACTTATTTTTCACAAAGCCCAAACCTTAGTCTGGCCCAGACCTTAGCTTTGGTTTTCAGCCTCGTTTTTCACCGGGGGCGAAACGGATGGACAGAGAAGCTTGAAGCCTTTTTGCCTGGATTCAGAGCAACCCCAGGAAAGAGGAGAGTGCTACTCGTGTGCTTGTGGTAGTTCTTGGACAGGAGCAGTGCAGCCGCACAGAACAAGACAAGGGGGAAGAACAGAAGCCGGAGCAGGATTCACCAGTACCAGGAGATGTGATAGTATTTTGGTATGATATTACGCAAGCGACAGAAGACATCATGAAACTTGAAGCCGTCAAGCAGGCAACTGGATCTGCAACTTGTGCGATGTGCAAAGCTTTGTTGCGGCTCAAACGTGGACCATGTGATCAACGCCCATGAAGTTTGTTAAGTTCATGCATTGTACATGTATTGCTGGTTCCATGAAGATTGAGAAAAACCGCAACCAATGTCAACAACAGTGAAATACCAACGTAGACACAGTCCTTTTGGGACCAACATGAGCATACACATTGGTATTGGTATCGATACGCGTACGAGCAGTGTGAAGAAACACCGATAGCCGTGGACATTGCTTTGTTTTCCTGTGGTAGTATTCGACACGTGCTAAACAATGCGTGGACATGGCTTGGCATCGACGCTGTTTGCCAGGGCAGGTGCTTGGCTGCCATGTTTGAGACAAAACACGTGCCAATCACGTTGTCATGTTGCAGTTGCATACTGATAGGCGCACAAATGGTCAGTGTACAAAACAAGGTTGCCTCCGAAAACCAATTTCAACCACATTCACACTGGATGAGATATTTTGCACATCTGAGAAAAATAGGTTCTCCAAACGACAGCCCGCCCAGTTTTGTTAACCACAACGATAGGAAATTGATATGATATTTGTTTTAGTTGGCGAGGTGCAAGCCGAATTGCTCGAAGATGTGCAGGTTGGCGCAGTGTTTTCCAAGAGTTGAATTCGTTCCAACTTTGAGGTTTCTGGGCTCAATATTTGGGAGCTCGGGGGATCCGCATTCAAATGTGATTCATACGGATGTTCGAGATTTTCCCTCTTGGTGGGCAATGATGTTTTGTTTTCGAACTTCAGCAACAGCAGCATCTACCTCAAAATTTGCAAGGTCAATTCAATTTGCGTGCTTGGTACTTGAAAGCCTCAACATTCAGATGACTCCAAATCTGAGTCCAATCGTTGGCCCCGCCATGTTCATCTCACTGCAACTGTTTATGGACAAGGCTGCAGATTCTGTTGTTTGCTTCAGGTTCTGCAGCGCCGCAGGACCAAGGCAATAAGGCCTAGCCAGCGATGTTTTGGGGGCTATCGCAGAGTTTGCCTCCACCATATGGGGCCCATGTTGGCGTTTGGGGTATGCTATATGGTTGGATACCAAAAGTCATGGATTGGCATGTTTTGGCTGGCAATTGAGGCTCCCAAATATTGGCGGCATCTTTCGGCTTCTAGACCCAAGCCTGGCATCTGGTGCTACGACAAGGTTGTTGCTTTTGGTCTTGTTACAGCCACTACATGTATTGTTGTAATTGTTGCTTTGTTCAAAAACAGTCTAGGATTCATAATGCGTGAACCTGGCTTGCCCACATTTGTGGTTCGCTCAGACGTTCAAGTGGAACATGATTAAAGCTCGAATCTGATGAGGACATTTGACTTTTATTCCAATTTTTCATATTGCACGCCGCGATTCTTCTCACCAAGAGTTTATTGTACGGTGATGATGCCCTTGTAGATATCTAGCCATGGCAAAGCCACCAAAGCGTCGGCGAGTTACACCCACGCCTCTTCCGACCGGAGATGGAGCACCACCTGAAGTTGGGAAAACCTTGTCTGAGTCAGTTGAAGCTCCAAGCGAGAAGAGCTTGAGCTTGAAACTTGAGGAAGGAGAGCCAACCTTTGTCCTGGAGAAGTATAGCTTGTCACGTGTTGCATCTGGCCGCTTTACCGCTGTCCTTCAAAGCGATGGCCGTCTGATGGTGTTTGAGGGGAAGATGCTTCTCCGTACTTTGCAGCTGCCTGTGCAACCCTTGCAGCTCCAAGCTATTCGCTTGACTGGTGCTGGAGAGCCTGAAGTGCTCGTGACTGCTGGCGGCCACTGGATTCTTGTTCAATCAGGTTGTTATTCTATACCATGTTAAATTCTATTGGATTATAATATACTATATTATACTATTTATATTTTACTATGTTATATTATACTTTACTATATTGTACTATTATGGATAGTAGAGCCTTGTGAAGAGCAAAACAGACCATGGCTCTTTTGATTGGATGTTCTCATCCCTGTACCGTCCGTGGCACAATGAATTTCAAATCTCCATTCAATCTTAAGGTCCTGTCAAGCCAATCTTTGCATGCTTCAGATCCCCCTGCAGCCTGAAATCCTAAACCCCAGGCCCAAATCCTACAAGCACCCCTCAAATGTCCCTGCTCGGAAGCCTAATTAAGCCCTAAACCCTCAGCCCAAAAATTTGGACCCTAAACCTAAACCCAAACCCAAAAATCTGAACCCTAAGCCTTAAATCCTATACTAAACGGAATCCATACTTTCAGAACTCCACCTGCCATGGTTGTCCCAGGTCAGACTTTGTGGCTTCGGCACCAAGCCGCTGGATGGACTGCAGCTGCAAAAAATGGATGCGGTTTAGGGTTTAGGGTTTAGGGGGTTTGTGATGTAAGGGGGGGATTTGGCTTTTGAGAATTCAGAGCCTAAAGGGTTTGAAGGGCTCTTTCACCCTATAGAAGTTCCGTTTGAGGTGATGGGTGACAATTTCAGCGTCTCTGGTGTGTAGCCCTGAAACTTCTGGTGCAGGTGCAGTCTTCTTGGGGTAGTGTCCTGACTTGTTCGTGGGAACTTCAGAGACCATTCACAGTGGCAATGTGGTCCTCATAATTCTAAGAAGGTGCTATGGATTCCAAGTAATCTGGTTTTCATGGCCACGGGTACCCAGGTTTCCAAAGATGCCTGCAAACATTCTTTTTGACTATTGCTTAGACTCAGAGCTCTGACGCTTCCCATGATTTCTCCTGCTTTCACACCTGGATGTTCCATAGTTGCAGCTCCGCATGACAAGGCGCCAGCGGCCCCTGAAATCTTCCTGCCTGTACCTCAGGTTTATCGTAGGAAAGGTCAGAGTTGAGCACATCAAGAAAGACTTGGGGTCGGTCACGAGATCAGGAGGCCTTCCATCATACACTATCATCTACATACTCCAAAGGCTAGGAAGAGCTCCTCATGTTAGGGGTTCTGTTTAAGGGGGGCTTGGTTACCAGAAGACCAAGACCGCACACTGAGGCCGCATCACCTGCTTCCGTTGGGACCTCAGAGTCCATCCAAGCATCGGCCCGAGAGAAGTTGCGCTTCTGTGGAGATTATTAGCTTGTTCTCGCGAGCTCAAGAATGAATGATCCAGAAACTGTTTCGTTGGGGGAGTCTCATGCTTGAGATGGGGTCTGAATGGAAGAAATCCTCCTGGACTTTGTGTACATGACAATATGCAGGTATCGATGCAAAGTATAAGATGAAAGTCTGGAGGTACACTCTCAGACCTTGTGAAGTTATGCCTATCCAAACCCAGCGTCGCCAAGAAACAAGACGCCAGAGCCATTTCCCGTGGTGGTGCTACCGATGTCTACATCACCAGTAGCTGGCGTACCAGGCCGTGGTAACTGTACTAGGAATAGAAGACATGTGACGATCTCTGCCAAGTCAAACGTGTTTGCATTTCATTGAGCCACTTCTGGTACCAAGAGTCGGGGTACTGCATTCCCCCAGTGTGGGCATCCGAGAGAGGACTCCACTAGCTGAGGTGGGGCTCACCTGTGTTCTACTTTGCTCTAGTCGCGGCCCAGTCCTTAATGCCATAGCGTTCGCCATGGCAAGATGTTCATCAATGACACTAGGAAAATGACAGCAAGCATAAACCACTAGCCCAACAAGCACGTCAAGTCATGACCATGAGAAGCAATTTTAGTGGTGGGATCCAGGGTGCAAGCGCAACAGGGCGCTCTGTCAGCTGAGGTCCCTCTCCTGTGCATATACAACGAGATGCAGGATTTTTTATCATGCTTTTCATTTGCATTTAGCTCCTAGATCCTCGTCATCTCATCGCCATTATGCGACCACTACCGTTGCAGCATCACATTGTCTCTGCAAATGGTCGGATTGGCGGATGATGCGCATTGGAATCCAGAATCGACTGCAGAAACTGATTGACGATTGCCAGGCCGCTCTGTTTGGGACTTCTGCGGGGTGGATGGGGGTGTCAACATGTCTTCAACGCTCGGGTCTTCCTTGCTAGTATGGCTCCTCAGTGTTTTATGAGCAGGATTCCAAGCTGGACGAGGTCAATCAAGCGATGCGCGAGGTGCCTTTGCAACAGAGAATGGCGTAATTTCCACACCAGCAACCATCAAGGTATATCTGTGTGGGATATCATGTGAAAATGCACAAGAGCTCTTCAAAATGATCTGTATACAAAGCAGCCCCCCTTTCTCCTTGATTCCATCAAAGAATACATACACAGGTCCTGAGTCACTGGGGGCCCTTGTTTATGACAGATCCGTGAATCAGAATTGCAGTCCCTATGCCATGAAGGGAGCTGTATGGTGACACGACCTGGCAAATACTGACGCCCTTCTTCCATGATACATTTTTGTACCTTTCGAATGTTTCAACACATCTTCATACGGGGCATCGGATTGGGGGGAACCTGGCTTTTTGCGGACTTGTACACTTTCCGTCGGGCTACTTGGAGGGTCAGGGGGATTTAGTAAGTAGGGTTATAATCCATATAACCCACATAGTAACCCTAATTATCCCCACTATTAACCTACTTTCTAAGTCCTCCTGACCCTCCAAGTAAGGCTCAAAGCCAGATTTCAGGTTTGGGGTTTTCCGGCTTAGACTTTGCTGTTCCGGGCTTTGGGAAGTGAACATGCAAGGATGCTGCTGTTGAGGGCTCGGCAAAGGTTGGGAATCTCTTGTGAAGACCCTTGTGTATGACAAAATGTACGAAACATTTCGCGAGAAGATGCTTGACATAAATTTCCAGACTTCGTCACACCCCCAAGCGATCCCATGTAAAGAAGAACCTGTACGTAAGCTCAGCGCAATACCCAAACGGCACCTGCTTCAGCCCCAAAGAGAGCTTCAATTCTGACATCCTACATGAGTTATAGTCTAAATTCCTTAAAGGGCTTATCTAGGGGATTAAATAGGGGACCATGATAGGGCTTATTAAGGGGGATACTTGGAATTTAGACTCTTTAAGCCCTAAGCCCTGGATTCCCCAACCTCCCGCAGGGACATCTGAACTCATGTTTGCTCTGATCTAATCCCAGCTTTCATGTATTTTTTCATGTGATTCTTCACTGTAGGTCTTGGGTTAAGGCTTCTAGGAATAAACAGAGGATCTGGGGGTACCCCAACCCATATGTTAAGAACTCGGGGGTTACCCAAGTTCCCTGACTAAGCAAGATACATTTTCCATTCCCTTCCCAATGAAATTCTGCACTGTAGATGCCCTAAATCCTAAACCCTAAACTGTCTGGAATCCAAGCTTGCCAGGAGCGGCTGAAGAAGCGTGAGCATCGGCTCTCAACCGAGCGGGCAGAGTGACAGAAAGAGATGCAAGAAACCCTACACAGGGGCTTTCCCAAATTGGGGCACTCTGTTTGAGGGTCCCTCCAATCAGGAGCCTAGTATTCCGCGGTATATTTCGGGAACCCTCTTTGGAGAAGCCCCCAAGCCCTAAACTCTGTATGCGAGCTGCCTAGGGACATGCAGGCATGTTGCGGAGACTTTAGGTTTCGTCTCTACAAGTCATGGATGCTTGCTTTAGTGTCTTGGTCTATCCAGGGCTTCAGGGTATCATGTGGGATAGCAGGGTGGGAAGAAGGAAAGCTTGTTACAAGGAAAGCAGGCTTTCGAGGGAGGCCTTATGGGCGAGGGTATCACGACTGACAGTGTTTTCATGTGGCTAGCACTCATCTTGCTGTTCTGGGAGCTGTCATTTTCCTCAGTACTGTTGTTGTTTTCTTGTATTGTTGTTGATTCCGGTACTTGCAACCTTTGTTCTGCCAATCCTCTGAGCTTTGGAGATGCTTGACAAGGGACATTTCACACTTCTTTTCTGTGTGGTGAACTGCTGCGTTGCTTCAATGTTGCATACACGAAGCTGGCAAAATTGTTTGTCTTCCTGGGTTAATTTGCTATAGTAGTTTCCATTTCCTTTTCCATTATACCAATATAATCCCCCAATATAACCCTAACATATTACCCCAATATACTCTAAATCCTAAACCCGAAACCCTAAACCCTAAATCCTAAGCCCTAAACCTTAAATCCTCAA